ATAATCTGCTGTACCTAGCCTGGACTGACAGAGGCCGTGTATATATTGTACATTTAAATAAGAAATAAGTGTGTATTGTAAATATGTGTAAATACAGACAATGGACTTATTAATACAGACTGACTAACAAATGACAGACCCGACCTCTCGTCAGAGAGGGCGCTACACATGGACAGGACAGTAACTTTCATTCAAAAGAAATATCTGGTCATGAGCCCCAGCTGGTGCTCGACACCAAGACAGACAGACTGATGGTCTGTCAGTTGTAATATGACCTTGCCTTGCCTTGCCTTGCCTTGCTGAGTCAGGAGTCGATCATCAGTCTACGAGCTAGCCACACCAAGCAACATCAGCCAGCAGGCTTCGTCGCCAGCACTCGGTCTACTGAGGCATCGGCGCTTTGCTGCGCCAGGCATGACTGCCACGGCTGTCTGCCGGTCGCACCCGACTCACTGGGCAACTAGGCCGTACGGACTCGCCGGTAGTCATACCCGACACACTGGGCAACTGGCGTAGCTACCGCCTCACCGCTCCAGCGACCGCGCTCAATGACTAGCCTTTCACCAGGAGCTGCTGCGCTGCGATCAAGCGACCTCCAACTCACCTGCCGCATGGCAACCAAGCAACATCCAACTCACCTGCCGCACGGCAACCAAGCAACCTCCAGCCACGGCCGCACTGCGGCCAGTCCATTCACCGTAACTAACCTCTCTCCCTACCTGCGCGCGCCGCGCTACCTCACCGGTCAAGCATCTCAGCAACCACGGTCCTTTTCAGGGCCAACAAACTGTTCCGAAGAAGTGGGTTGTCATCGGAGTAATGACAAAACTACACATAAGACATTAAGACCCCCCACAGATCCTTTGAATATGTGGCAAAGTTCAGATAGTTAGGAATGACAGTAACAAGCAAAATTTGATTAGCAAGGAAAGTAAGAGCAGATTGAATTCAGATAATGCCTGCTGCCACTCTACTCAGAACCTTTGTCTTCTTGTCTCCTGTCCAAAATCATAAAAATTTTAAAAACTATAACTTGCCTGTAGTTTTGGATGGGTATGAAATGTGGTCTCTGACATGAAGGGAAGCACATAGAATATATTTGAGAACAGGGTGCTGACAAGAATATTTGGTCTCAAGAGGGATGAATGTACTCAATATGTTTATAATATTAATACAAATGCACACAGTTTCGTAGAGAAAGTTGTTACATCATACAATATGTTCTTCATCTTTATTAAAGAAGTAACTGCCTCACAGAAACCCACATTGGACTGACATATCATAGTCAGAAATCAACTTACACTTCACTTGTTAATGACATCTGTAGGGACGCTGACATAGTCAGAACCAAAATTATTTCCCTTCATTTTAACAGTACAGTGTGTGTGTGTGTGTGTGTATGTGTATATATATATATATATAAAGGGAGTTCACAGCTCTGCACTTCAAGGTGGCCAGCGAGCCTCTTGCTGCAAGGTGCATACGAATTTTGCCAGTGAATCGGCCTATAACGTTTGGAATGAAGGGAAGTAATTAACTTCTAGACCACTGGTATTATGTTTCATGGCAAGCAGTGCAGTTCATATGTGAGAGTTTATGATTTGTCAGCAATAGGCAGCAGTTATCAGCTCCATTAGCCATCTGTTCTAACTTACAATTAGTGAGCATCATATATTTCTGTATGATACCTGTGTGAAATACGGATCTGCTGGAAAGTGAGAGCAAAAATTTTGACATCAATTTTATGACAAGAGAGTTCCCAGTAGACAAACAATTCATAAGAAGAAAGCAGTCTTCTGGGATTTGGCACCGTGTATATGTGGTGTTAACCGACGTTTCGGAGGAACGTATCGCCCCCATCTTCAGGGTTGAAGAAAAAGTATAGGTAAATCTGCAAGCGACAACACCGTGAGACACGGTAAAGCAGACTGAAGAGGATACCGTTAGAGCAGAGAGGGAAGGGGATGAACTGCGAGTAAACAAGTGAAAGCAGTGGGAAGGGAGCCGGGACCAGCGTGATTTGTGTAGGGGAGAATATAGCAAGGTTAACTGGCTGGGCTTTAACTGTGAGCTGGGGGGGGGGGTTGTTATGTTGGTTGGTCATGGCCTTGTGGCTTCCTGGATCTAGCGTCATATCCCGGTGGGGGGGTTTTTAAGAGAACAGATAAGAGGTTTCCAAGACTTGCTGAGACGAAAACCATCCTCTCTGTTCATATTCCCTGGATGCAGTTCGATCTCAATGGCTTCCCTAATGATGCGATCCATATAGCGCGTCTTGGTGGCGAGGATGGAGGTATTCTGAAGCTGAATGCGGTGTCCCAGTTCGATGCTGTGTTCAGCTACGGCCGACTTGTCCGGATGTTCGAGACGGATGTGCCGCTGATGCTCCTTCAACCTCGTGTCCACGGAGCGGCCTGTCTGCCCAATATTCATAGTTTAGCAAATAAAGTTAGAAGAGTGGGACTTTTAATAGACAAAAACAAAAACATAAGTGCCAAATGTTTACAGAGATGAAGTTAGATGACAGGGGCCAGACTTGAATATACACCTAGAAAATCACTGAAATGTCTAGCTCAAGAGACTGGAGTGTTGACGTCTAGTGCAGAAATGGCAACAGAATTGCTGAAACCATCAAGTAAAAGTTGTGTGTCTCATGTGCTGTAAGTGGAAGGATTGTTGTACATGTGTTTTTTAATGAAACAATAAATTGTGAAAAATATCTACATGTAGAGAGGACAGCATTTTCAACGCCTGCAATCTGTGAATTGTAACTACTTCATTCCAAATGCTCTTGGCCATCAGGCATGCTGATTCACCGGCAAAATTCACATGCACCTTGCAGCAAGTAGCACACTGTTCGCTATGAAACACAGAGCTGTGAACTCTTCTAGTTACTAAAAAACCTTCCTGTATTTTCTCATTGTGTAATGGTTCACACGATTGTACTAATAGGAGCCAGGATAGCTCAGCATAGAGGCAAGCTACGGTTGGACGTCTCAGGCATGAGCAAGAATTTTCTCTACTCCACAATGTCCAGACCAGCTCTGGGGCTCACTCATTCTACTGTCCATTGGGTATGGGTGGTTCTTTCCCTGGGGATAGTGTTTGGGGTGTGAATCTGACCCTCCACCTCCATATAGTGCTGAGATCAAGAATTGTGGAGCTATACTTCCATTCTCCCATATAACTTCATGGCATCCAGTACGGACTGGATTTATCTGCCACAGAACAGGAACCGGTCGACAGCTCTTGTGAACATGGTAGTGAACCCTTGGGTTCCATAAAGGTAAGGTTCTTGAGTAGCAGCACAACTGGCGGTTTCTCAAGAAGGGCTCAGCTCCATGAAGTTAAATTCATCGTTCTTATCTATCGCCCCATACTTTCAGTCTCACTCTAGTGGTTTGGCCGCATTAAAATTCCTTTTATTGAATAATCACGAGACAATGAGCACATTGTTCTATTCGTGAATCGTATTCAATTACCGACATTCGAAGTTTCATTCCGTCACTGCTATTTGAATGCGTTCAGTTGCTCCTCTATTCTATACAAATCTGACTGACTAGGAATCTGAATTTCGAGCCAAATAAACACTGCGCTAATTACAATTCGGAATGATTAAGTTCATATTTTTTTTTCTTGCTATTGAATCATTAGATCTCAAATTATCGGATGACGTAGCGCTGTTCTCACGGTTCTCACCATAGATCATTCTCCTCCAGTTCAAGAAATAGGCCATTTAATTTTTCGATCATAAATTTCAAACGATTTATCGATCGATTCACATCTCGTAACAAAATATTGAAAATACAATATGTCGCTGTTGGTTCGTGGTTGTGTAGTTCGTGTATTTTATTATAACTGCAACTTTGTGACAGCAAAATTATATAAACGTACAAGTTATTTACTTCCGGCTTTAAAGAAATCAACACTTCGAAATAAAAATGGTAAGAAGTGAGATTACTCGCATGAAATAACTGAAAGTCCACAATTTTTATAACCAATCCGAGAATTGAAGATGTGTTTTTTTGGAGATATTAAAATTACTGTTGCAGAGTACCTTTGTTATGTATGTCGGCATATGTGGCTTCCGTATAACAGTAATATTCCAAAACATACATAAATTATATATGGATATGCAAACATATAGGACGTGTAATGTACGTGGACAACCGAAACTAAATCTGCAATAAATTTAAATGTATATATGCAGCTTGAAGCGGCGCTCATAATAAGTGAAATATTGGTAACGTCTCGCGCAACTAACGGCATCAATTCGAAAAAGCCCACCGTTTCATACTGACTGTATTTGCATCATTAGAAGTTAACTACTATTCATTGTTGGACTCCAAAGGGTTCAGACGATCTGTAAGACTCAGGATTACTGGATTTTTGGACATTGACCATCGTCTTGTATTCTTAAAAAAAAAAAAAAATTCAGAAACTGGATCCTTTTGTGCCCTCATGTGAGAGTGTAAGACATCTCCATTGGGCCCATTAGAAATACCTAACCTCCATCAGTGGACAACCTATAGTACGATGAACAAAGCCCAGGAATCCAATTTGTACAAGTCTATCAAGGCCTTACCTTCAAAGTTAATCACTGACCTATGAGAGAGGAGCACATTTACACATAAACCCATCTTAGTATGATCAAGCTCATTACTACTGCACCTGAAAAGTAGCCATAGTAACCTTTCTGGCAAACACTGTCTTTTATAAAGTAAAAGTAAAGCTATCCCTGTATCAGGCTGTGAAGGCCCATAGGGTTGTGAGACGTTGAAGGTCCCACATTATCTAGACACTTGGCTCAAAGATGGCGGTAAGGTTGTCAGCCTTATGCGCTGGCCGCACTTTACTCCCCAGGAAAAAATAATTAATTCCTGGTACTCATTTTGTTAGAGGCTGAATGAACCACAGGGCCTAGTGCGGCTGGAAGGATTAGGTCAACTGAAAAAAATCGAGTGACCTCATTGGGACTTGAACCCGCAACCTTCAGGCTTGTAGCGTAGCCCCTCAACCACTATGCTACCACGTGCCCATGATTATAAAAGCCTTTACAATTGTTTTAACATAAAGGAGGGGGAGAAAGATTGGGATGGCAAAGATGATAGGATGGAAAAATAAAAGGAACTAGAAAGCAATATGAGACAAGTTAGAAAAGAGACAGAGGAAGAAAAGAAAAAGAGTGGTACAAGATATAGAAGAAATTATTTTCTCAAACAGGCAAAACCTGTACATGTACTGCAAAGTCACTGTCACCTTATGTAAGCACATATTACTGCAGTTGTACATTTGTGTCAGCATTTAAAATTTTGTGTTTTAATTGTAAGTGTAATAACCGACATGACCGGTTTCTACACAATCGTGTTCATAGAGTACTAAAATGCCACATTTACTGCACATAAAGAGAGAGAGAGCTACTAGGTTCATTATCACCCACGTGACATATTTGTAATGCTGTATGAAAAATGCTATGTCTCCTGTTATAAACTCGTAATTTTTATATATTTTCATTACACAGTGTTTTAAAATAGTATATCGTGCTTATACTTACTCATGGAGCTGAGCCCTTCTGGAGGAGCCGTCAATTCTGCAGTTACTCAAGAATTTCCCAGCATTTTATGGAACCCGAAGGTTCATTACCGTGTTCACAAGAGCCCTGCACTGGTCCCTATCCTGAGCCAGATCAATCCAATCCATCCCATCCTATCTCTCTAAGATCTATTTTAATACTGTCCGCCCACCTATGCCTTGGTCTTCCCGATGGTCTCTTTCCTTCTGGCTTTCCCACCAATATCCTATATGCATTCCTCGTCTCCCCCATTTGTGCTACATGACCTACCCACCTCATCCTCCTTGACTTGATCATTCTAATTATACTTTGAGAAGAGTACAAGTTATGAAGCTCCTCATTATGCAGTTTTCTCCAACCTCCTGTCACTTCATCTCTCTTTGGTCCAAATCATGCTTATACTGATGAAATTTTATTAATAATCATGTAATCCAGGTAAAGTTCTTTTGTTGTGACATCAGTACAATCCTATACAAAACCTCACACATTCTGGTTGCTTAATGTGGTTCAGATTACCAGAGATACATAGTGGAAGAGTCATCAAGATCTGATATGTAGCAGCAATTTCAGTAGAGATAATGGATTTGTACTGCACAAGCTCGGTACCCAGGCACAAATATACACCAGGAAACTATATGTCAGTAGCAAAGGTGGCAGCACAGAACCTTCTGCCATGGTGAGAAAACCAATATTAATTTTCTCCCACTCAGCTCCACCATCTGTCTCTCATTCACATGTTGCCAGTTGATCATACCACTCTTTGATATTGTGATGTATCCAAGATTGGTGTGACTAATAAGAATGGGGTTTGGATTGGATTTATTAACACTTTCTTTACAGTTTATCTTAGTGACAATTGTGGTGCTATTGCTAATCTGCCCACTTCACAAATCGCTAGGACATGCTAATTCTTCTCAGTCTTCACTAGTTGTATCCTGGCAGTGGATTTATAGCAGTCTCACTGTAACTACAGGACACATCGAGTCTTCCTTTTATAGGCTAACTCAATTGTACTCCTTTGTACTACTCATTCTTGTTTTTCCACAACTGCCAGCCAGTCAAAGTCAAAAGTCTCATTGTGACTGACGGCCAGTCAGTCAGTAAATCTTGGTCCCGAGCACCCTTCTGGGGCTCATGAACAGATATTTGTTACTATTTGACAGTTACGGTCTTGTTTTTTGTGGGCGCTCTCTCTGAGGAGAGGACGGGTCTGTATTTTGTATATGCTGCTGGTCCTTGCCAGTGCAGTCTTTCTCGGGTCCGAGTCCCATGGTACTTGAGACCATATATTACTGTCTCAAATTTGAGACTTCCCTTTTCATCGCCTCCTACGACTTGCAGGGTCATGGTGGAGGTATTCAACCCTGCCACCACATGGGTGTGAATACTCGAGTCAAAGTCACATTGCGACTGACGGTCAGTCAGTCAGTAAGTCTTGGTGTCGAGCCCCATCTGTGGCTCATGACCAGATATTAATTATTGCCGTTTGACAGTTTCAGTCTTGTTTCTGTGGTGTGCCCTCTCTGACGAGTCCCTTGGGACTCATGACCATATTTTACTGTCTCAGATTTTAGATTTCCCTTTTCGTTGCCTCCTACGACTCGCAGGTTCACCTTTGGAACTCCATCTCTTATAACCACTTTGCATGGACCCCATGGAAAACACAATCTGTATTGTTGACAAAGCCTGTTTACTGCGCTGTTGCCTAGCAGTAATCTCCTATTGTTCTGCGCATTTGCTGACCTGTTGCCTAGCAGTGCAGACCAAATAGAAAAAAACACTTCTTGCAATACCTTGGTATGTTTCAGGTGTTGCCTAGAAATAGGTCTACATGTCACATTATTTTAATATGATGCAGAGAACTGAACTAGAAACCATGTAACAGGAACAGTAATTTTAAGCCTTCTGATATTGGCTGTATGCCAAACTGACAACAGTGAACTGTGACTGTGAGTATGTGCAGATTATGGTGTTGTCGTGGGAGGAGGAACTTAACCCTCGTCTGTTAATACAGTGATTCCCACTCTTTGCATTTTGTGTTTTCTTAGTTATTTTTACCCCCACAAAGAACTGAGTCCCACCATAGTAAAAACAAAAATTATATTTTTCTAAGGCAGGTATCTTTATGATTCTGTACTACCCTGTTAATCATTAATGGAAATTTTTATTTTCCACACCCAGCTGGCCAGTTGAGAAACACCATGCTAATGAATATTTAAATTATCTGAGGCTAGTGGCTGAATATGAAATGATCAACATCAGATCAGAGCAGGTAGTAATGAAAGATCCACCTTAAAATTACTTTTTTATGTATAATGTATACAGTCATCTGCTTTCTTCCAGCTGCACTGATGATCTACCTTTGAATGCATATTGCAGAAAGCTTGTTTGGAAATATTTATAAAATGAATGACATGAAAGTTGTTCAATGTTTTATTTGTTATACAGACCCAAATCCACTTTCAAGTCATGAAGATCAGGCTCGTGGACAACCAGTTTCTTTTGAAAACATGGTGGATAGCCGACGGAATGAAGCATTTAGGAGCATTCTTGTCCAAGTACAGTCGGAGCAATCCTGTTGTGATCTTCATAAATACTGTAGTCAGTATGGCGAGGTGAAAGGAATGCACCACTATAGTCTTCCAGGCTCTTTGGTATGTGCTGGTTGCAGCATAAGCATGGTTCCTAATGTCTATGTCATTCTTGCATCAATGAGTTTATATTTTGTTATGAATCATTGTCCTTTATAGTTGTAAACTTGTTGGGGTTTTTCTCTATGTATGAACACTGCTACCTCTATACATGGAATAGCATAGAACGTTTTTAAGCATGAAAATTGATTGCAGTGATTGAATTTTGTTTTTCATAACATATGTTACGTTGGCAGCAAATATATATGGCAGGAGAGCATAGTGTATTTTCTAATAGAAGACAAAAAAGTAAAGTTACCCTGTGCTTAATTAACTAAGCACCACAACATGAAGTCTATGGGGATAGAGGTATAGCTCCATCATTCTTGACCTAGGCACTAGATGGATGTGAGTTTTTAACTTGATGCCTTGACTGCCTTACCCCTAGGAAAGGAGCCCCAGTATCCACTGGATAGGAAGTTGGGTGGGCCCTGGAGTTAGTCTGGATACTACAAGTAGTACAAATTGAATCCCAGCCATCGAGCACATAGCTACACTGACTGGGGTATCCTGGCCCCTTCTTTTCCAGTATAAACTTCCGTTAAATCAAATTTTATAATTTAGATTATGACCTCATGACTAAATAGTAATCATCACGGTAGAAATGCCCTTCTTTGCCCAAACCAAGCCAAGTGCACAAAATTTCAAAGTGATGTTGATTATTTTTATCAGTTAACCTTTATTGTCCAGGAATGCAGCCATTAAATCCTCTAGCAATGGCTGGAAGCTACATTTTAACTGTAGTGTAACTGAGTGGATTGACATAAAGGTAATGCTGAGGATTCATATTCAGGAGATGATTAGTTTTAATAATGGCTGGGACACTGTTCAAGCTAAGTTTTACTCAGTTCCTCCAGGCAGTTGCCAGGACAGGATTTCAGTTAGACCATGGCACCTTCCCTCCAAATCCCTTCCATTTCATCATTCATCTGTGAGTCTAATACCTAGACTATCATGAAGCTGGACTGTGCTGCTGCCTAGTGATACACATAGAAAACCTATTATGTATATTACAGCTGTTTTACTTCCATTTGTGGCCTATTTACTGACCCTCCCTCATTTATGTAGACACTTTGAAAAGTCTATTATAAAATCCACAAAAATGTTAAAATGAAAGTTTTTTTAAAATCACTTCAAAGAGGAAGGCTTAAATGACACACTGAACCTGTTTTCCTCCCTCAGACTGACTTGAGATCATCCTTAACACTCACAAAACTTGGAAGACTGAGTCCAACGTTGGACCTAAACGGCAAATTTAAAGTTGTGGAGTCAGTCTGACATAGGACCACAAAGGGTTAAAGATAGTTTGATGACATGGAAACAACTGAACATGGTGCAATGGAGTAGTATGCTGGTAATTCCAAAAACTGAGTTTGTGTGGTGCTTTCACAGCTGGCAGTTGGTGTAACAAATGTGTAAAGATGGAGCCTATGTTGAAAGGGATTAAATGTCCCATCCCCGCAAGTATAGTCCTGATACTTTTTGTGTACAGACCCACTTACAGAATGAAGAATATTTTATAAATTCCAGATTTTGATTAACTCACCATCTGTTGTCTAAATTTCATACACAGTTGCCCATACATTGTAGGAAAAGTGACGCACATATTTCAGTACTATACAGCCACAGTTTCCTACTAATCAAGAAAGACTGTACAAGAGTGTCCAAACTTTCCTAAAATATAAATCAGATTCCTTTAAATTATTTTACTGAAATTAGAAAAGCCGGCATCGTATGAGTTTTGATCTTCTGCTATGACGCTGTCTTTATTTTATTGTTATTAAAGTTACTTTGAAACCTGAAAGATAGGAAAATTCAATCACACTTGTTTATTATGTTGCAGCACTTTGTTGTGGTAGAATTCACACACAGATCTAGTGTGGATCACATCCTAAGTGTTAGTTGTTACGTAAATAAGACAGAAGTGATCCCTGTGTGGTCCCCGTTCTTGTGGTTTCGTGCTCCAAAGAAGGCTCTGCAGCCAAAAGGCAGCGCATCACAACTGCCTTCATTGGTGGAAACAAATGGAAACAGTACACCCACTCCAGTGGAACTCAAGAGCTGGATGCAGGCAGCAGAGTCAGTAAGTCTTGCTTGAACTGCAGTTACTTCAGAGAACAGTCATATTCTGCTGAAGTGTGATGTCCAAGGAGGAGTGAGCATAATATTACTGAGCGCTTTGCTACTTAACACTGTCCAGCCATGCGTACTAACCAAATCAGTTGAAGATATTTGACTTAACCCTTTGCATGCCGCAGGCTGATTAGCTTGGCTTAGTTTCTTAGTTACTCCATAGCAAAAGGGACTGGCTCACTGTTAATCAATCATTGCAACAGTTCTGTCAATAGATGGCATAATAGTGATTTGCCAGTGTTCAAACAAAAGAACGTGCTTTCACATGACCTATATCTGCTGTCATTTTAAAGTAATTTGAAAAAAGTATTCTGGGGTTTTCTGTGCACCTACATTTACAGGGATTGTACAAAATAATGGAAACACTACAGATACTATACACATTTCTTTATTAATATAGTGTTTGATCACCTTTTATCTTCAGTATGGCAGCATTCCTTGGAATGAATTCATATAAGTTTTGAACCATCTCTAATGGAATTTTATACCATTCCTCTTGAAGAACATCTTCAAGTTGCTTTAGAGATGTTGGAAGTGGGAATCTGTTCCTCTCTCTAGTTCCCAAAACTGACCAGAGTGGTTAGTGATGTTCAAATCTGATGATTGTGCTGGCCAGGGAAAATGTTGAAGTTCACCTTCATGCTCTTCAGATTATGACTGGACAATACCAGCTGTGTGAATGGGGGCACTGTTATCTTGGAAAACGTCATCGTTATTCAGAAAAGATGTCTGGATCATGGGATGCAGCTGACTACCCAACCTGTCCATGTACTCCCTTGCAGTAATTTGGCACATTTCCAGTTATCAGATGTCCAGGTTTTGCGGTCATGACACCATCATTTACTCATCTGAGCATTACTTTAAGTAAATACAGGTTTAGCACTTTCAGCCCTACCTTGGATGTTGGATTTGTGAAGCTCACATTGGACAGTTTTTGTGGAAATAGGGTCTTCAAGATAAATATTCAGTTCTGCTGTCACCTGTGCTGTAGCAGTTTTGTGGCTTTTCAAAACAATCCTTCTCATTGTATGATGATCTCTTTCTGTCAATGTTTATTTTGCCCACTGTTCCTTTTCACTGATGATGTCTTCCCATGATTCATGTATGTCAACATAGCCTTAGAAACTGTCACTCTCAATACACCCAGTGTGGCACTTTTTGTCGTAGATGCTGTAACTAAATGTGCACCAACAATCTGTCCTCTTTCAAAAGTGGACAAGTCTCCCATTTTCAGATTCTTTCACACAGACTGTCACTCAATACAACCACTAATGCACTGACACAAGCACTACAGGGTGTAAACAGAAAAACATTCAGTGTTGCCAACTGAAGTCTTTTCAATATAGCCAACACAAATTCTGTGCCTCAATTTCCTAGTGTTTTCATTACTTTGTCCATTCGCTGTACCTCCAGTCAAGCAGTCTTAGTGTTTCTACCAGTCAGTTCTGTAGCACAGGCCTGGCAGTTAGAGGGTTAATTAAAATTTGGAAGAAACTGAAATTTTGACATTGCAGCCTTTTTTTTCAGGCCTGATATGTATACCTGAATTCTGTAGAGTATTACCATTCCTACTTTATATTTTGAGAGGCCTGGGGCTCAGTCACTGATGTCACCTGTCTGGAAGGAGAATAGACTGGCTTGTGTCTCCTGAGTCAGTTGCCATCTGTGAGCCATCATATTTTCTCTTCTTCCATTTACTTCACCCTTATGTATGTGTATTGAATATCCTCTTGTAACTGATGATGAATATACAATCCAGGACCACTTTTTTCAGTTTTCAGACCAGATACTGATCCTTCATCGAGCTACTTCATTGAGTGACCTGGGTTCAAGGCTTCGTTTCCTGACAGCACGACAGATTGAGCTTGCTCTTAGTGGACTGTTTCCACAAGTAACAGTTCTGCCATTTGGATCCTCTGTCAATGGATTTGGCAAGACGGCCTGCGATTTGGATCTTGTTCTCTTGGCAGGCAAAAGGCAGACTGCTGTAAGATTCTGAATATTACTTCTGTTAATATATTGCTTGGACATCTATGAGCAGAATCAGATTATGATACACTGAATAAACAGTGTGGTTAATGAAAGTCATGGATGAACTGAGAAGAAATCATTTAACAAAAATGTGAAGTATTCCAATTTATTGTTAAAATCCAGTAGCATACATTGAAGAGCATAACACCATCTACACTTAATCTGGATTTTGTTGGACAGCAGAGCTGTACACAAAATATTTTATTTCCTGTCTGCATCATACCCACTTATAATTGTGAAGAAGTGTCTTATAATTACCGGGAGTGCATCAGACACATTGTTACTCAGTCGCATGAATAACACTGATGTCCTCTGCATTATGCCTGATGTAAACAGTTTTCTTAGCCCAAGCTTTTCATATGATTAACCAACCTCGGATTACAATAAAATTGGTCAACTAACAAGTTGTCAACGACACAAAAATGTGCATTTTATTGACAATGCTTAGGTAAAGGTAAAGTTGTGCATGTGCTTAATTAATTAAGCACTACACCATGAAGGCATATTTGGCAGTGGATGTATAGATCCACATTTTCTTGGCCTTGGCCTTGGCACTAGCTGGAGATGAATGGTCAGCTTCACACCCCAGCTGCTTTTCCCCCTGGGAAAGAGCCCCCAGTGCCCATTGGAAAGGAGGTCGGGTGAACCCCAGAGCCAGATAACATGGAAGAGAGAAAATTCTTGACCATACCGTGACTCGAACCTTGACCCCTCAGTTGTCCAACCTGTAGTCACTTGCTATACCGACTGCGCTATATAATTTAAATATCTGAATTCACACTATTGCAGTTGGTTATTTGCCTAATCACATGCAAGTTAGTATGGCATGAAATATTTAATTATGTGAAACATATAATTGCCAGTTCATCGTCAAAGAAAGAGCTGTGAGAAACCTGGGAGGCAATCATAAACCCATTATTCCACATTTTGGGCATATCCATCATAAATACCACAAAGACAAGCAGCACAGTATGAGAATATTATCCACTGATTAGGAAATGTTCACTTTGTTGTCTGTATGTTCTGACATCATATAGTTTAGAAGGTGGGTACCAATGTATCAAAAGCCATATTGTGCCCATTTTCAGGGTAGAAGCCTACAATTAATCTGTCCTTTTGTCTGTACACAATCTAGCTCAAAATAATCTACATATATAATGAATGAATGAATGAATGAATGTATAAGGGGTGGGCCTTCTCGGCCCTTGCACTGCAACCTACAGCCATCTATTGTGCTTCCCTTTTTGATTATCCTGTGCTTCAAATGAAGCATAGGATTTTGTACGTGGGGGCGTCAAAATAGGCACTTGGTTCCATAAAGTATTTACCAAAGTGACATAATCTTAAATAAGCTAAGGCCTCACATTCACACAAGATCTGTGTGGTTATTTCATTTTCTTCTTGACACCTCTCACAAGTGGGACTATTACTTAGTCCCAGGTTGAAGAGGTGTCTTTTAAGGTGACAGTGTCCTGTAAGTAGTCCCACCACCCATCATAGCTGGTTCCTGTTTAACTTCAACAGTTCCTTCGCTCTTTTAGCAGAGGGTCCTCATATGAGTCCCTTTGCTTGCCTGAGCCCAGTATTTCTTGTGCTTCATATTTGTCCAGTCCCTTATTGCTTTTCTGGCAACTCCTATAGAGATGCCACATGCTGGTTCAGGTCCTATGAACGGATGTTCAGCTCCAATCTTAGCCAATTGGTCTGGTGTTTCGTTTCCAGCAATACCCTCATGCCCCAGCACCCATATCAGTTGTATCCTGTTATGTTTGGCCAGATCCCTGAGGGTTTGGTGAGACCAATTTTCAGTTGATCTGGTGTTTGTCAAGCACTTAAGTGCAGCTTGGCTGTCGGATAGAATGTAGATCTTCCTATTTCTGTAGTTCCTATCTAAATTCCCCATAATACATGCCATAATGGCATATACTTCTGCCTGGAATACTGTCATGTACTGCCCAAGGCTGAAACTAAGTTTCCGCCTTGTTCCATAGCAGTACACACCAGCTCCAGTGCCCTTATTGATCTTGGAACCATCTGTATACCAGATCAGTCCCCCTTTTCTGTCGGGCCAAAACCCGTCTTCCCATTCAGTCCTGTCAGGAAATCTGACTCTGTAGGGTTTTTCATATACATGTCTCAGTATCATTCTGTCAGACCCCATTTGTACTATGGGCTCTTTTTTTTTTTTTGTGTCCTGAGTTATGTATGCATGTCCGAAATTATCAGATCTAGGTTTCCATTGATCACTGCACTGGAGACAGTAGATTCCTGCCCTGGCCTCTGCCTCCAACTGTATATGCAGTTGGGGGAGTCCAAAGAGTATCTCCAGTGCAGCTGTTGGAGATGTTTGAATTGCTCCTGTGATGCCCAAGCAAGCCAACCTTTGCAGTTTACTAAGTTCTGCCTTGCTTGTCTTGAATTTAACTCTTGGCCACCATATTGTGGCGCCATATGTAATTATGGGTCTTACAACCGCAGTGTATATCCAATGCACAATGTGCTTCTGCATGTCCAAAAAGCCTTATAGGATTTATTGATGACCATGTCCAGCTGCTTTTTCCATGTCAGTCCCTTGTCTAATACTAGACCAAGGTACTTGACATTGCTGGAAAGCTGGATCATTTTATTGAAGAGGGTTGGTTCCATTAGGCCCTTTATATTCCTCTTCCTGGTAAATGGTATAATTACCGTCTTATTAGGATTGATGGAAAGACTTCTTCTTTCACACCATCGTTGATCCGTGTACAGAGCTGTTTGAAGATGCTCTGATACTATCAAAAGGAATTTTTTGTTTATGAGGATTACTAATCATCAGCATATCATACTGTATAATACCCATCATCATTAAGTTCGCACAGGAGATCGTCGACGACGAGGCCCCACAGCAGAGGCGAGAGCACGCCCCTGTGCGGACGCCCCCAGGGTTTCTCCTGATAATATAGCAGCTATGGTTCTGCTTTCCAGCATAGCACTGATCCATCTGCATATTGCAGGCTCTATGCCATGCTTTCAAGCAACTTGTTTGATTATATCAAATGAAGTTCTATCGAAAGCTCCCTCTATTTCAAGGTATGCTCCTAAGGCAATATCCTTGTGTGCGATTGCACTTTCTGTGTGTGTTACCACATTGTGTAGTGCAGTTTCGGTAGATTTACCTGTTTGGTAGGCATGCTGGTTTCAGTGTAGAGGATATATCCTCAACACCCCATCCCTGATATGCCTGTGCACTATTTTCTCCATCGTTTTCAAAAGGAAAGACGGCAGACTGATAGGACGATAAGCCTTAGCCTCGGTGTAATCAAGTTTCCCAGGCTTTGGGATTAATGTCACCTTAACTTGCCTCCAGACCATGGGGATAAAACCATATGCCATGCAGGCTTTATATATGTGGCATAGGTGTG